CCATCAATGTCGGTGATAGTATCGTTTTGAAATGATTTTGGAAAATATTTTGTACATTTTCCATTCACCGTGCATGGTGACATAATAATGAGAGTACCGCATGGACCATGTATCATGTTAGTAGTTATAATATCAAACAATTCCTCATCAACATTTTTATCAGGAATTTCTGCTGAGATAATATTGTCAATCTCTACAGAATGTACCTTATCAATTAACCACAACAAAATATGTGCATGGGGTAAACCTCTTTTCTGCCATTCTACTGAGTATAATCAACAGCGTGTTTCACCAAAAACAGATTGATGCGTTATCAAATTCATCAATTATTTAAACTTCTGTTTAAAAACTCGTGCAGTTGTATCATGCCTATCCATCGCTGTTTGTCCCGGCATCAGCAATTTTTTTATTTCATCCCATTTGGGATTGCACGTAAAGGTAATGAACAGATTAGGTCTGCCATATGCACGAACATAAGCCATAGCATCTTGAATGTACTCCTGCATATGTCGCGGACTTCCAATATAAGAAGATGGAAGAATATATGCAGTACCAATATGACTAATATCATTCATTGCATCTACATTACCAAGTACTGCATCACGCAAATGTATATGTTCCTCGGCGCGGAGTTTGGCTTGATTAAACTTTATGAATGTTATTTTCTTCATTAGCTCGAATCATTGATCGGTAGCAGTAAAAGTCCATGGCACTTACTTTTTCGGCAAGTTCTGCACATGGAATAAACTATATTAAAATTATTTTAATTATTATTATTTGATTTTTTTTTATAAAAATAAGATTTTTACGTGTATTTGGATCCCTTTGTTTAATATTTAAATGGTACCCATCTTCACCTTTCCAAAATATCAATGCTTACTGCAAAGCATCATAAGAACGATGACTGTCCTGTATTATCTGCATGGTATTATCTCTCCGTTGTATACGTATATCACGCCCCTCACATAGATCACCAGCTATTACGACCGCGACTTCATTGACTGTTGGAACATTATATGCGCCAGCATGTTCTCCAACCGGCACTTTGTCTGCTCTAATAATAATAGCGTAATCATCGTTTTCTAGTCTACTTGAAAGAGTCTTAAAAAAATGCAACAACTGGTTATGGTTTTTAAAAAATATTTCTAAAGAGTTCACAATATCTCTTTCCTTCTAAGCTGTATGTGATTAAATTCGCATCGCATGTTTGTTTGTCGTTCATCATCGCCCATAAAATAAATCTGCAAGAATTTCGGATTCACATCAGGCATGGGAAACAATGAACCGATTTGGTGGTAAACTTGACCTTGTATCTTAAATGTTGATTCGAAATTTCGACAATCTTCATTTTCAAATACTTTCGTAGCACCAAATGACGTCATCTGAAAACATGAATTAAATTTGCAAATTTTTTTCAGTAATATTTTTGATTGATACGTTGTTCCATCTAGTAGAGTTTTTAAAGATTCCGGTGGTGTTGTTAATTTTGTCAATATAATTTTCCCTGATGCGCAAGATAAACCTGCTGATTCTCCTTTGAATTTTAGAGCATGGCAATGTTTACATGCTTTGTCCATATTACCAATGGTTATTAAGGAGTGTGATGAATAATCAATTTCAGGATCATAATTAAACGCCAGGTGCAAAAGTGATGCACGTACCAATGCTCTGTGATTATTGACTCGTCGTTGATTATTTTCTCTAATGGCGGCGGTCGCACCTCGTTGCACCTCTCGATTTCTTAATGCCATGTCTCTCTAAACTTTCATTGGCACGTGTATTTCCTACTTGCTCTCTCAAATTCATATTGTCCATCATATGTTGTTCATGGGTCCTATTCAATCTTCGTTCATATATTGCTCGAGCTTGCCGAGTACGTCTTCCAAAATTACTTGCTCCTCTGCGAATTCGTGGCATCGTGGCACGATAAAAAAAAAGCCTGAATATTATAACCCGCTGGATAATGTGAATCACTTAATCTCACTCTCAAATTCTACTAAAACTATAACTGAAAAATACCAATATCTTCCACTAATACTGTATTATAACTGATTATTATTAAACCGCTTATTTAAACTATCATTCTCACATTACACATCAAAAACAAATTATATTTATCGCCAATTAATCAAGATAACATAGACTATCCTGGACTCTACTTTCCCGTACATAGTCACATCCTATCAAGTTAACAGGGATAAGACACTCTTAGCGGGCGCAGAGACATCTATGGAACTAACTCGCTTTGATAATTTTATGATATTTAGTTTTAAAAAAAAATCTAGTTGTACATGGTTGTATTTTTTTTTTCTTAGAAATATTAACACAAAATTGAGCACAATATGGACATGATTTTTAATAAATAATGCTCAAGAGCGTTGACATTAACATTCATTATAATACATTTAATTCATTATATTTCATATTCATTATATTTATCTCATTCTTTTCTTTCAGTTCTATAGGTTAATGTTTGTATAAATATCGTAATATGTAAGTGTTATCAACATTTAAATTCGAATTATAAGTAAATTGATATTTCTTCAACTGTCATATCTCTAAATGAATATATCTATAGATAAAAGAGTATATGAATATATCATAGGTTTCCTCTCAATTCTCAAACTGATTGTGATTTTCTTTACCTATGCTGCGACTGCATAGTGCAATGAATAAGATTCGTATGGTTAGTTTAAGTTGTTGATCTTGAGTCAACGCATTCAATATTTAATGACTAACTTTCTATAATATTCAATTAAACATTAAGTATAATAAATAAAACATAATGAGTGACAAAGAATTGTTTCATGATTTTTTTTAAGAACGATTACCATCAGTTACATTTGTTACAGTTTGTTAAAGCTAAAAAAAAATAATGTCTTGGTATGTAAAATACCATCATTTATTAATAAAAAGTTTTAATATAGTACTTAATTCGTCAAGCACAATTTTATTTATAATCAATTTATGTAAAACTATAATGTGATTTTGACAGAAAAAATGGTGCCATTGTATGAATAGATACAATTTCTGGAAGACTTTAGAATTAGCAGAACATCTCTAGCTAAGTGCAAGATATCACAAACATACGAAGACGGTGAATATTAAAATAGAAATAAATATGACGCAACAGTTTAGTAAAATAAGAGCATATCTGCATCAGGAAAATAAATGAATTTTATTGCCAAAACAAATCACCATTAATTATAATTTTAGGTACTAATATTTTCATAGGTTTGTGGGACATCAAACTGACAGCTATAGAGATTTTAGTGATTAGTGCATTGATGGTATTCTGAGTTTCATGTTTAAAAAAAACTCCGGTTGCTCGCCCGAAAGTTGCAACCGTGTCATTATGTAAAAATTTTTTAAAAGGAAAGAAGAAATTTTCAATACTGCGTTTTGTACAATTGATAAAGGGTAATAATGATGTTCTTACAATATGGACAAACGTATATGTGTATTCAAATTTCGCGCGGGGCTTATCTTTGCAATACAGAATGAAGTATGCTATGCTACTATGCGATTAGGCTTATTGTGTTTATGTACGTCCTGTTCCATATTGTATTTCAAGCAGACCACATCCAGCTAATAAATCATATTATATTTTAAATTGTGTTTTGGTTAATGTTATTATTTATTTTCTTTATTACCATAAAATTGGTCCATCTCACGGATATATAAAATCAGTGCACATTTAGTAGTACTATAACCAAAAATACACATACAAGTTTTGTTTATGCTGTACATGTGGGTCGACAACCTGGAAATATACATTCTTGGATTCAAGTTAGGTGAATATTAAAAACACTGCTTAATTCATGATCTGGAACATCATTTTCTTGTAATTGGAATTGGATTTGGCAAGTTATATCAAATACTATAAAAGCTATACCACGCCCCCAAGCCATTTGACACATAACCTCTATCTAGAGTTTGTTTACTACTACGTTCTATATCTTGGGATACATTGCTGAGGACAAATTAATTCAGGAACAATAAATTTTACTGGAATTTTGGACCACACACAGGAATTTTTTGGACAATATACAGAAATTCTCTGGGCAGCACACGATGTAGAGCAAGGTATTCAAGTAACAACCTGTTGCTGAGTCTAAATCTTATATATTATATACTCATTTTTATATTTTTTTCATATATATTTTGTACATTACTATTGTTCAAATTATTACCTTTATTTTGTTATCGTAAAGATATATCGTATACATTTTATAAAAGTGTACAATTCCATAAAAACGATTTACCAAATTTAAAAAATATTTGTATACCGCGATGCATTTTGAAACATTTATCTATTTCTGAGATAGAATACCACGGGTTTGCAGACGCATCTCTATCTGCATATGGCGCAGGTATATATATATTAAAAATTTTTACTCTAATAAAACTGCATCTACCAATTTATTATGCGCTAAAAGGGTAGCACCCGTAAAGAATATTACATTACCGCATCTTGAACTGTGTGCTGCCTTTATTATCTAAATTATATAAATATGTATGTACTAATGTCGATATCAAATTTAATAATTTTTTTTATGGAGCGATTTTACTCGCTACTATACTATTTCGTGTTGGCTTGGATCAAAACTGACCCAAGTCAATTAAAAATGTTTGTAAGTAACCGTTTAGCCGAAATTATTGAAAACTCTCCAAAATGTATTTGGAGACACATATCTAGCGAAGACAACCCGGCGGATATTGTCTCACGAGGTATATCAGCAAGTGAGTTGCAAAATTGTAGTTTGTGGTGGAACGGACCAAGCTGGTTAACTCTAAATTCTAATTGTTGGCCAAATAAATTAATAGAAAATACTGAAAATATACCAGATATTAAAGTTTTTACCATTTCTAACGACAATAATTTTAGTTTATTTTACACGCGTTTTTCCAAATTTTCCACGTTAGTTAGAGTAGTCGCCTTTATTTTAAGATGGTTGCCAAAATCTAAGTCTAATAGAGAATATTTAAAATATTTAACTATGAAGGAAATTCATAATTCTTCAAAATATATTATTTTACGCGTACAACAAGAGAGCTTCGGAAGTATTATGGATGGCTTCCGAACTTATCAGAACTTATATTCTAAATTAAAATCTTTAAATCCTTTTATTGATGGCGAAGGCTTGCTGAGAGTTGGTGGAAGACTCGAATATGCTAACATATCGTATGAACAGAAGCATCCTATAATACTTCCCAAGTCTCATTATTTATTTATTTATTTATTTAAATATATAGCCCACAGATTTCTCCAAGAGGACTCAAAAACACAATTATTTTACATAATGAATAACAATTAAAATATATACAAAATTACAATATACAGTTAGTAACATAAAATGCTTAAGATAAAATTATTATTATTATTATGTTACCGAATTATTTTTACGCGGCGAACATGAAAGACTTCTGCACGCCGGCACTCAAACCACACTTTCGGTTGTGAGACAAAAATATTGGCCAATTGATGGCCGCAATACAACTAAAGAATTAATTCATAAGTGCGTTAAGTACACTAGATTTAAGGCGGCGGCTGCAGAACAACTTATGGGCAGTTTACCAGTCGATCGTGTTAATGTGAAACGTCTGTTTTTAGCTGTAGGGGTAGATTATGCAGGTCCAGTTATGCTGCGGGCGAGTCGGCTACGTAAGGCTCCTCAAATCAAAGCGTACATTGTTTTATTTGTGTGCATGTCCACCAAGGCAGTTCATTTAGATCTAGTTACGGAATTATCGACAGAAGCCTTTATAGCTACGTTGAAAAGATTTGTTTCACGGCGCGGTAGGTGTTCGATCATTCATAGCGATAATGGCAAAAATTTTGTAGGTGCTAATAAAGTTTTAGCTGAGTTATTTAAATTGTTTAAAGCAGAAGAAAATAAGCGACCTTTAATTTCAGCCGTTACACAATTAGATATTACTTGGCAGTTTACACCTACGTATGCTCCACACTTTGGTGGTTATGGGAGGGGTCGATAAAAATAATGAAATCACATTTGCGTAGAGTGATTGGGTAGCATTGTTTAACTTACGAGGAATATGTTACATTACTTACACAGGTCGAGGCAGTACTGAATTCACGTCCTTTATTAAGTATATCGGATGACAGCACAGATGCGTCATATTTATGCCCCAGTCTTTTTTTAATAGGTGATATAATGACTCCTGTACCAGAACCATACAATCTATGATTAAATGAATTAATTGAATATATATATGAATATAATTATTATTATACACATACATATAAATATATAATTATTCAAAATAAAAATGTATAGATCTTGTTTTATTAAAAATGTTTTATAAAGAAATGTTCCATACTTATATGCAGAATTTACGAAGGCGCGCGGCGAGCAGTGCTGTTGCTAGTCGTTGCAAATCAGTGACGACTTACACGGGTGTTATATGAGCGCGAGCGTGTTCTTGCTCAGGTTTTTTCTACTTTTGGATGTGTTCTACCACATAAAATAAAACGAAATTTTGGACATTGAAAGAAAATTGAATAGCCTTTCTAATGATGCTAATTACAAATTAGTCCAAACAACCGCACTACCCAAAAATTCAAATCAAAAAACTATTTTCACTTTTTCATGCACTAAAAAATAATTATTAAACAATATTTGTTAAAAATAATATAGTACACACCGTTGTGAATAGAATGGCGTTATTTGTTTATCGATATCTTTTACAGTTGCGACAAAAAACGACTTTGAAAAAAGGGGCCACTTTCACACATTTTCAATGATATCTCGGCCAAATGATGAGCTACGGATTTGAAATTTGGTATATCGGATTTTCTCGAAAATACCTATAAAATTATTTAAATTATTATTAATTATTTAAATATAAACAGATTACGACCATGCGTGATCAATTTTGGAAAACATGGTCAAATCAATATTTAAACCAATTACAGGCCCGACATAAATGGTCAGACAGTTGTTCGAATTTAAAAATTGATAGTGTTGTATTAATTAAGGAAGACAATGCACCACCATTGCACTGGCAACTTGCCAGAATTGTAGACATAAAACCAGGTGCAGATGGTAAAGTTAGAGTCGTTAATATTAAAACTAATAAAGGAATCTATACTAGACCAATAACTAAAGTTGTACCTCTTCCGATAGAATAAATATATGAAATTCCATATCTTATAAGTTAAATTTAAATAATGTATTTTTCTAGAATGTTAGAATAGATTTTACTCAATTAGAATATATAATTTAAAATGAATTATTATTGATTACTATTATTATTTTTATACATTCCACTTTTCGAAAACATGTGTATCAAATTTAGATTACGATTATATTATTCATTTATGTATTTTAGGTTAAGTTACAATTTTGATAAATGTTAATGAAATATTTATAATTAATGTTAATAATGTAAATTTTTGGATGCTTTGCATCGCCCGGGAATATGGACAAATGTATTTGTGTATTCAAATTTCGCGCGGCTCTTATCTTTGTAATACAGAGTGAAGTATGCTATGTTACTATGCGATTAGGCTTGTTGTGTTCATGTACGTCCTGTTCCATATTGTATTTTAAGGAGACCACATCCAGCAAATAAATCATATTATATTTTAAATTGTGTTTTGGTTAATGTTATCATTTATATTCTTTATTACCAGGAGCAGAAAATTTAACTGGTATTTTTCAAAACTTTTGTCTAACAAATTGTATGTATGTTACCAATTATTCTTTTTTAGATTCTCGTTTAAATATAGTAATCAAGGAGCTCGCCAAAATGAGAATATTTATGGAAGGGTTCTAAGGAAAAATTACGAAATTGATTTTGGCAAAGCAGACAATGCCACATGTGGAAGATGCCGATCAATTTGGGTCAGCAAGAAATGTGATAAAATATTTTCCGCTGAAGACCATGGAGGAAGTGGAAATGGTGCAACAATATATAATGAAAAATAATTTGAAAAGTGAAATCGTATGAGAATGATACAAACTTCAGATATTATTTTATTTAAGTTATATTTTATACCTAATGTGATATCTTATTTTTTAATCGCTGATTAACTATTTTTTAGGTACTGTTTTTAGCCGGAACAGGCGGCAGAAGTGCGAAAGCTGTTACAGTTCATTTGTTGAAGACTATGTTCAGAGATTGTCTAGCCCTTTATCTAGACAGGAGGAAGAGGCAAACATAAATTTTGCGAGATGCTGTTGTGTGAAATTATCACTGGTATTTCATAAATACTTTTTTATTGCTAATAATAAGATCCATTTTATTAGTTTACTAATTTTATTCATTACAGACACAGTTCTTAAAAATATACCAACCGAGACAAAATTTGCAGTCTCAGAGGCCGCGAAGAGTTGGTTAAGACATGCCAATGAGCCATATATGAGAAATTATTTGTAATATTATATTATATACATATATATATATATATATATATATGTGTGTGTGTGTGTGTGTGTGTTTACATTCATTATTTTTAATTATTTGTTCTATGTTTCAGAAGAGAAATGCGAGCAGAAGACGTACCACAAATGTAATGACTTATTTGCAATATTTGAGAAATATACATTAATAAATGGCTTTTTTCCTTCTTAATATATTATCAACATGAATATTATTTTCAGCTAGAAAATACAATTTAAATATACCATAATTAATTACAATGCATGTCTGATTCCTATCCTACTTACGGACGGAGTATCCCGCGCAGGATAGCCGGCGGCTATCTCTAGGGGCGGACATAGTTACAGTTCAGGGATAAGCCTTGGACAAGCGGGACGTACCGTTGGATGGTTCTGCGGACGAAGAATGTCCGCATGCGGATAGTGTAGGGATGATCCATAAGATCATCTCGTGCTGTCTGGGTATATATTACATTTTTCTATTCATATTCTATTACATTTATTTTCTAGTATATTATATGTTATTCCAGTGAATAACAAGTGGTTAAGTTACACGATATTTCAAGAATTGCTTTCAAACTTTGATACCTCGTGTAAAATCATGTATGCAAACTCGGGTTTGAAATTAATTGTTCAAGTTTTATATAAAGTACCTCATTAACATTTGTTTTGAATTAATGATTTTGCAGTTCAATAACTATTTTCAGACAATTAGTTAACATCGTAACCTAAATTTTAGCCGAAATTAGACTTAACCACTTATTGCATTGTGAGGTGACGTCATCCTGTACAGATATTTCGATTTTTGTCATCCCAGTGAATAAGTGGTTAAGTTACACGCTTTTGGAAGGCATTCTTTCAAAGTTTGATTGTTTGTGTAAAATTTAAATAATTTAATGATAATTATTGAATGCTAATATTATTATAGAGAGTGTTGATGCAATGAATGACACTATGGCCGTAATTTTGCGTTACATTCAAGATGACCAGTCTTTGACAACACATCAAAGACGAACAATTGATGTGTCGTTGCACAAAAACATAGATCATGTTGCCATTGAAAACAATCAACGAGATGAATTCTTTAGAATCGCGCCTGAAAGATGACAGCGAGTTTTGCACAGAATTTGTAAGTCGCTTCTAGTATAACTGTTATGAACAATGTATTAAGACGTTATATAAGAAAATTCTGTTTAGTTTATTATATGATATTATAATTCATTCTGTATCTTGACAAGAACACAGACAGTTTAACAAGAATATTTGAAAGACTAAGAGAATCTAATTTCAATATTCAACCAGATAAATCTGAAATTTTAAAGCAAGAAACAGAATTTTTAGGACACATAATTAAATTACAGAATTAAAAAACAGAAGGTATAAAAAACCTAACTCAAATAAAATAAAATCAATTTTAGAATATCTAGTACCAAAAACAGTAAAGCAAATTAAAGGATTTTTAGGTTTATTAGGTTATAGAAGATTTATAGAAAACTTTGCCAAAGTAACTAAAGCCTTAACAAAATGTTTAAAGAAAGACGCGACAATAACTTTAGAGTATGAATATGTTCAATGTTTTGAAACTTGTAAAAATTTATTAATAAATGAACCAATTTTACAATACCCAGATTTTACGAAACCTTTTCTATTAACCAGACGCAAGTCAATATGCGATAGGAGCAATTTTATCTCAAGGAGATATAGGAAAAGACAAACCAATAGCTTATGCATCACGAACATTAAACGAATCAGAAATTAATTACAGTACAGTAGAACGAGAATTATTAGCAATAGTATGGGCCGTTAAATATTTTAGACCATATCTTTACGGAACAAATAATTACTGACCACAAACCACTATCATGGCTATTTTCTCTAAGAAATGCAAACGCAAGACTTGTTAGATGGCGATTACAACTTGAAGAATATGATTATGAATTTTTTACAAAAAGGGTAAATTAAATACAAATGCCGATGCTTTATCGCGTATTAAAACTGATAACAACTTTGAAGAATTAAATTATAACGAAATTATAGATTTTGATACAGATTTCCAATCTATAATAGCACAAGCAAAAAAAGAATTACCGAATGTCGATGAAATAGATTCGATAATAAATGAAGTTTTAGGAGATCAGATAGATAGCGAAGTCATTGAAAATGATAACGTTACTATTCATGCATCTCACGAAAACCCAATTTTAAATATCCCTATTTCACCAAAGCCTATTAATTATTATATCAATCAAATAATAATTAAAATCGTAAATACGAATCCAATGAAAACGAAACTACTAATTTGACAAAATAGAACTATAATCGAAGTTAATAATGAAAATATAAAAAATGATATAATAAAAATATTTAAAGAATTTACTACAAGTAATAAATCTTTTGCAATGTATAGTAATAATAATGAATATATTACCGATATTACAAACATTTTAATTTCAAATTTACACATTCATCTTTTAAATTAGTGATGTGGAACGAAATTGGAGAAGACGTATTTGACACAAATAAACAAAAATCGGTCGTAAAAACTTTTCACGAAGATTCAACTAATCACCGTGGGATTAACGAAAATGAAAT